AGAATTCATAGTAATTAATTAACTTATGGCAACATTATTAGTGATAATAATATAACTATAATGTAATTTACTATTATTGGCATAATAATTAGCACCACTTAGCCTGATACATATTACAAACTTTGTGAATGCTCTCTTACTCATAATCAGTTTAATCGAAAGAGTAAGTAAACAAATAAGTCTAGCTTTAACATCTTTTCAACAAGCTAATTAGATATGGAGCATTAATCGTATAATTTGCTCATTGATAAGGCGGTAACGTCAGGGCTAAAAGGCTTCAGCTTCATCGAGCTACATGGCAAAAAAGACTTTCAAGGCAAAGCAAGTTTCTCAACTCACACATGGTGGAGACCTTCATATCGAATGACAGCCAGGTACTCAACATGCAAATCGATACTTTGTAGAGATGTTGCTTGCACCCAGTTATTCGTGGTTATCAAGAATCTCAAGGTTAACGAGATAAACCGTTTGTCGTGTGGTTATATTAATTATGGATTGAAGGTAAGATTTGAATTAACACCGAATATCAACATATAGCATTCAGAATTTGGTGGAAAACCCACAGTTGCCAGACGATGGGAAATGACTTTAAAAAGTGTGGGCGGGGAGAAGTTTGCTTAGTTATGAAAGTCACATTTGTGTAATTTTACGTAGCGAAAAATGACTAATCTAAGTGGTTTAATTGCCTCTGAAACGACGCATCCACAGTACTAATACCCCTAGTGGTGTTGTTGAAGCAATATGAGGAGTCGAAACCAATCTATCTCAAATAAGAATTGCACATTTACGGCGTAGGAAGTAACAAAACACAAAATGAAACGGACCTTCTCTTCAATTAATCGTGGATAGAATAACTGTATCATGTCAATAATTATGAAAGTAATTTATGCAATATTGAAGATTATATATGCCAAGTGTGAAAGGAGTAGAATAAAAGAATAATGGAAAATTTAGGCTCATTGTTTACGTTCTGTCATCAGAGCATGCTGGTTCACAGAAACGACATCCTGCTTTCCAGCACCAACGGCATTCTTCCAAGACTGAGTTGCCAGCTGCCCTCGGTAACGCACTTCATCGGTTGACTTTGATGTTAGTGAATAGCCCTCTGGCACAACAGAGGTTATTTTCACTGATCCATTGGAAGCAGAAAGTTCAAATCCAATCGGACCTCTAGGTCCAGATAAAAGACCAGATTTACTGATGTTGGAGGGATGCAGCTGATTCGAAGAGGAGATGGGGGGATGAATTAAAGCCGTAGTAGTAGCTGCCGGATTGCGAATAGAAGATTGGCGAATACTCCGAGCTAGATCACCATTCAACTCGAGGCTGCGTGTATATCTGTCTAGCTGAACCCATCATGAGTCGCAGAAATTGAGAATGAGAGCAGGACAAAATTGTGAAAAGCAAATAGGGTCGACGATGAAACATTTAGACAGCATACTAGTAATATTCAGTTATGCAAGCAGGTGCTAAGAGACTCAATGTCAATCAAGCCTGGTGAGTGGGTCAATTATGATAATACTAGTCAGGTAGCTAAGTTTTATCAGTCGAATAAACTAGGAGGGTATTTATATTTTATCAAACAAGTCTGAGTCCAACTTTATAAAATCTGAGAAGTAGCGACAAGACTTAATAAATTTCCACTATATGTATAGGAAGCATATATATATATATATATATAATTTAGCCAAGATAAAGCTTAAAGTGAAATGAGTCGAAGCTATTATAAAAGCAAAAATAAAATATCCAGTATCATTCCAGAGGAAGAATATCAAAAAGCAGAAAAGGATAAAAAAACACAAAAGAAGATAATTTTTTACAAAAATTACATTATAATTAATCTGGAGTAGATTAATAACTATTTAAGTGACGCCCATTTCCATGCTAGCTATCGTTTAAACTGTGGTGCTAACAATAAGATATATTAATCGAAGATATGAAGATTAGGATGGTGTGACCTTTCGTATGTTGCGATCTCCTTTCGTTGTATAGTAGTTTGACCTTGTTTTCGTAACTTGGCTATATTGGCAGGAAGATGTAGAGGAACTCACCTAGTCCATTGCATGCATGATAATTTCCAGAGTCAGGTCATGGACTTGGTACACTCCCAGAGATTTCGCTGACATCGTCAGTAAGCCTTGCCATTTTTAGCACCACGCTACAGCCAATCAAAGAGACAGGTGAAGTCGATACTCTGACCAATTGTGTGCTAAACAGTTGTGGTATCTCTCCCATCCTAGGCTATTCACCTATCCTGTATCGTCGTATTATCCCTTCAAATTCACAATTTCTTGCTTGTTTATCTAAACCTATTTGAAACCTATTCACACTTCCCTCTGGTTTCCACATCCCTCCCACTGTGCCGAGTGTTGATCCGCAATCCCCCCTTTGGATCCTATCAGTCACCCTCTTGCTACTTAAGATCCTTCCTTTATCTGCCTGTTTCAGTGAATTCACTACATTGCTGCCACCGTACCCGGCCACTCAAGGCATTTTGTTCTCCACTCTGCTACAAACCTTTGACAGCACGTATACACCAGCCTCACTGAGCAAACTCCTAAGATCTGGATTCTTAATTGGCATTGCAACTTAACGTGATGCTGTAGATTCCCTGTGCGGAATGTGCATTGGGTAAAACTCGTGGTCGAGTCTTTGCTTCATGGGCCACGTCTATAAGCAAACCTTTAGGCCTTATTGAAAATAACATCTCTTTACCGAGGAATAAATTTTCAGACGGAAACTGTTTAGTCAAAGAGAGACAGATTGAGACATTTTCCCATGTCCTTATTTTACCGTCATGCTTTCTCCCAAAAAAGG